CCTTTCTTCCTGAGTTCTGCCCCCAGACATCAGATCCGTGCCCAGAAGCCAGGAAAGTCTCTCTCGCACCAAGCTTCATCAGCGGCAACAGCGGTCTGCAAGATAACCTGTGACCCCGAACACACCTCACCTGGCCCTTCCTGCGGGAAACGTGCTGCCCGGTTGAGGCATGAGCTCTAAGCCGTCTTGTTCGCCGGCTGGGAACCTGGCCCCGGGTGCTGGGAGCCGCTGGCTGTTGCTCACAGTGCTGTCTGTGAGGCAGGCGGTTACAAAGCGCTGAGAGCAGAGCAGCCCTGGGGAATCGCTGCTCCGGCCCTGCCAAGCAGGAAGGGCGATTCTCCAGCGGCGCCCTGCCCCTGTGTCACTGGGAACAGATGACAAAACGCACAGAAAAGGGAGGACCTGCAGTTCAATTCTGCTCATTTCCAGCAGAAATGGAAATGCAACACATCTGTGAGGAAGCAAGCTTTGGAAGCAAGCAGATAGCATCCCAGTACTGTCAGGAAGGAGTGGTGAATGGTCCTGTTTTAGAGAGGCGGGAATTACTATGCTGTTAAAGAAAACAAATAGAGTATATTTTAAAATCCCACTGTTTCAAACCGTATGAGAAACACCTGTTGTTATACTGTTATAAAAGCAAAACAGGAGCGGGGTAGCTGTCAGGGACAAGATCAGCTGGGTGTGGCGGGGCACACCTGTAATTCCAGCTGCTCAGCAGGCTGAGGCAGGAGGATCTCAAGTTGGAGCCCAGCCTGGGCCAGACAGTGAGAGCCTGTGCCAGCAGAAACACACAGGGCTGGGGAGTGGCTCCGTGACACAGGGCTCCGGACCCCATCCCCTGCACTGCCCAAGCATAAACCAGTATTTCGTGGTTGGTGACTCAAAGCGCCCTTAGTTGGTCATTATGCTTTGAAGCGGCCGGGAGCTGCGGCCCCTGAGCAGGTCTGTTCCTGCTCCTGTCTCCTCGCGCTGGCCCCGGAAGTCAGCCCCACGCACCCCAAAGAGCGGACACCACGCAGGCTGCACGCTCAGCACCAACTCCCACGAGCGCTGTGCGCCTTAGAACCCCACGCGCGGACTAATACAGAAACGCTCAATAGTGGACGCGAGAGAAGAAGCGAATGCAAGTTTGCTCCCTGCTGCAACCCAATCATGAAGCTCTGAGGCAGCGGCAGGCTGAAACTCTGAACAATGTTTAGAGGCAGCGGCAAAGCGCACCAGGACACTCCCTTAGCTAATGGAGCCTCTACCCCCGGGGCCCGGCCACCGCGGACAAGGCCCGCTGTGCGCCACAGCCCACCTCCGGAGTGACAGCAGGAACCGTAGGGTCGTTCACCCGATGCGCACTCCAAACCACTGACCCTGAGAGACAGATTATGAATATGCAAACATTTAAATGGCAGTGCCCAGCAGCGCTTGGATCCAGCAGGCCAGGCCAAGCGGGCGGGGGGCAGGCTCTGGGGGTCTCAGCACCCTGGGTTCCACTTTTCAAGCTCAAGTCTGGGTACTCTGGTGGCGCAGGAATTCAGTCAGGGGATAAACACGGAATATCTCCCTAAGGATCAAGTTTCTGAAAAAAAATTTTTTTTGAGGAGAGTTCAATGAATTAAATCACTATATTTCAATCAAACTCGATGTAACTAGTGGCACATAAAATTAATATATATATTTTTCAGATAAGACATGAAACTTCAAAGCCACTTCACTCATTTTTGGTACTGGAGAGGGAACCCAGGGGCACTGGAGCACTAAGCTTCATCTCCAACGCCTTCTGAATTCTCACTGTGAGAGGAGGTCTCACTAAATTGCCCAGTCTGGCCTCCAACTCTTGATCCTCCTGCCTCAGCCTCCCAAGTAGCTGGGGTCACAGGAACGTGCCACCATGCCTGGCACAACTTCACACAGTGATGTATTCAGATCCACTATTTCCTAATATTAAGAACAACTGGAGGGCTGGGGATTTAGCGCAGTGGTTCCACCGCCTGCCTCACAAGCACAAGGTCCTGAGTTCCATCCCCGGTACCAAAAAAAAACAGAACTGGAGGAAAAGTTTGAGAAGTGGAATTGGGAATATGATGCAATGGAGGTTTGTTTGTTTGTTTGTTTAAAACAGGAGACTGACATGATCAGATCTGTGGTCTGGGAGGGTTATCTAGGGAAAGTGGCACGAAGGACAGGCCGATATATGAGACAGGACTGCAATGGCAGGTGACAACCTAAACAGCTCTGTGCTATGCATGAGATTTCAAGACTGGAATCAGACTTGAGGAAAGAAGAAAAACAGGGCCAAGAAGATTCCAGAAACTTCAGGAGTCATACCAGGAGGGCCTGACTAAGTGCACAGTAAGTATTCAAAGAGAAAACTTTTGAGAACTTATTAACACATGTTCATATTTTTAGAGCTTGTTTTTATAAGATATTTGATATATGTGCCTCTAAGAGCTCCACTTTAAAATAATACTTTCAGGGCCAGGGGTTTGGCTTAGTGGTTCCGCCACCTGCCTTGCAGGTGCAGGGTCCTGAGTTCGATCCCCAGTACCAAAAAATAAATAAATAAATATAATAAAATAATACTTTCAGTGTGCCTTTTTAGCCCCAGAAACTAAGTGCTGTGGAATGTTCTTATAACAAACAACATTAAATGTTATAAATGTTATAACAAAAGTTAAACAAAAATTGATTTATAAAAACTACGTTTAAAAAGAAAATACTTGTTTTCAAAACGTTAAGAAAAAAATTACTGGGTTCCTACTCTTTAGTCACCAGGTAATAGCTTTTCTAGAGACATATTACCCAACTTGACAACTAGAGTAAAGACTGTCTTTGGTCATGTGATATTCTTAAATAAAGAAATAAATACAGACTCCCTTCTGGAAAAGAACAAGTATTTCAAATATCTGATTACTTAATAATTGAATAAAATCCACATTAGTCATTTTATATGGGTAAATATGCAGTTTCCGTCCAGGTAATTTAATGTAGGCCTTACTGGCTGAAAGACACAAAATAAAATTAAAGTTCATCTTCATTACTAAGTTGACAGCAAAATATAGCTATGAAGAACAGACATTAAAACTGCCAAGGGAAATTGATAAAAGACAAAATGCATTCATAGTCATGAAAACCTTACAACTTGAAACAGTAGAGGAAGTAAATTTAAATATAATAGACCAATAAAAATAGCAATTCCCAACCAAAATAATCTATAAGTAAAACTGTCTTTTAATAGCTTTCAGAATTTACCTTAGTTTGGTCTATTTTCTTTACTTACATAGCACAGACTGCTAATAGTTACATGATTGTGATCAGAAAACTAGTAAAAGTACAATTACTTCAACCTTACACAAATATATGAAAAAGAACATTGGTGAGATTTTTAAATTCTGTATGAGAAATATTAAAAACATTGCATGACAGAAGTTATTATAGAAAAGATAAATGCTAAAACATGGAAACAAGTCTAGTGCTTAACTTTTTCTTTCCTTTTTTTTTTTTTGTCTTTTAGATGAAACTCTAGCTTTGAAAAAAACGGCAGAAAAATCTAATTGCATACGAATTTAAGATCTTTCACTGAACAGTGATGGGCTCATCCATCTATACATGTAGAACTGACACCAATTTTCTTTTCTAGTTTATGCTTGCTGCTCACAGAAAACCCTAAGATTTGGGGAAACAGAGAAAACTCATCTCAAAAATACAACTCACAGGGCCAGGGATATAGCTCAGTGGTTCCGCCGCCTGCCTCGCAAGCACAAGGTCCCGAGTTCGATCCCCGGTACCCCCCCCCAATACAAATCACAGTAGAATTCCCCCGAAAGCCTCTCCCCATCGCTGTTAGCAGGTCTAATTAAGACTCTTCCTTTTATAAGAAGGTATACTTGGGTATTCTTTCCACCTCTTCTGAGAAGGGAAATGCAAGATGTCAACAGCAAAGCAAAAACAGCACTGTCTGAATTTTACACCGGAATATTTGGGGGTCAGCGCGGGGAAATGTTGGAGCCCAGAGAGCGGCCACCGCACGCGGGAGCGCAGCCGGGCCTGCACCCGGCGTCCAGTGGCAGCTCACAGGCTGTTCTGTCTTCAGTTTTGCAGAACCGCCATCTGCTCCCGCCGTCGGCTGCGGCGGGGAGGGAGGTGCTCGCAGGGGTCGGGGCGGGCGGGAGCGCGGAACCTCATCCCGCAGACCGGAAGTGGCCAGCGCCCGCAGCCGGCCGAGGGGTGACGCGCGGAGCGGTCGCTACTGTGCAGCTTGATGCGCAGAGGCCCCGCGGGGGCACGACGGGTTAGGGTCTCAAGACGCAGCCCTGGGTGTCTCGGGGTCACCTGAAGAAGAGCCGGGCGGGCGTCGACAGCCAGCCTGCGGCCAGGGCTCGCGTGGGCCAACAGCCGCGAGCGCGGGGCCGGCCACTCGGACGGGCTCGGCCACTTGTGCGTGAGCAGCGGACCAGTGGGAGGCCCGGGGAGGGCGCGGAGGAGGCCGCGTGACCGCGTGGCCGGAGGCGTCCGCAGGAGGCGCTCGGCCGCCCCGCATCTCTGGCTCCGCTCTGCGCAGGGAGCGCGCAACTTTATCCACAGCGGATCCCCGGGTTCCGGGCCACGGCGAGGCCGAGCGGGGAGCGCGCTGTCCCCGCTTCTGGGCGCTCGGGCCCCGGGCGTCCGCGGGCCGGCAGCCGCGACCTCCGCTCGCTCCCGCGCAGCCCTCTAAATTGTTCCACGCAGCTCGTCAGGGGCCGAGCCCAGCTGCCGCGCCCGCCCCGCAGGGGCCGCCAGGTCCCGGACCCATGGCGGTGTCCCGTCCCCGGCCACCAGGGGACGCGCCCAGATCCCCGGACCCCGCGCGGGACAGCGGATCTCCGGACCTCGAGGGGACATCTCGGTCCCCGGGCCCCCCAGAAAGCGAACCTCGTGAGGACACCAGGTCCCCGGACCCACAGGGCGGCAGCGGGGGACCCCGTGACCTTGGGGAGCCCCTGCCGCCTCAGTTTCCCCGCGTCCCGCACCTGGCATCCGCAGCCGCGCGGCAGGTTGCGCACCAGGATCTTCCTGCGGTTGCCCAGCGCCCGCCGCATCCGCTGCAGCCGCGCCCGCACCTCTTCCGCCGCCAGCGCGCGCGCCCCGGGACCTCCGGACCCTGGAGAGGACTCGGAGCCCGCGCCCGCAGCCGCCATCTTCCCGCGCGGCGCACTCAGGGGCGGGGCCGGGTGGGCGGGGCCAGCGCGCCCCCTCCCCCGGTCCTCCCGCGGGTCCGCGACACCTGCACCCGGCGTCTCCGCGCGCCCCGGTGGTCTCGGACTAGGTCCCGTGAGCTGCCCGCTGTCGCTGGCCGCAGGCGCCGGGTCACCTCCGACCCGGGGTGGGACTCGGGGTTCCGAGGTGCGCGTCTGGTAAAGTTGGAGTTTACACACAAACGAAAGCCGAGGTCCCGGCAGGAGACAGAGGCGTCCCGGGGTCCACGGGGCTGCGAACCCCGCTGCAGCCCGGCCCCCGGCCCGCACCCACGAAGGAGGCCGAGGCAGGCAGGCGCGAGGCTCAGGACTCTGGGCAGAAACTTAGGGTAGACCCGCATCGCGGGTGCTTGACCCCAGTGACGTCACAGCTCCGGACTCAGATGGCCCCCACAGAGGGGACCTTGGGTCTTGCATGCGTGCCGTGCAAAAACAAACGACAAGGCAAAGAAAAAGAAAAAAGAGCGTCAGAAAAAAGCATTTTAACACCAATTTGTAATCCGTTGGGGGAAATGTTTCAAAGAAAAATAAACCAACACGATAAACAAAAGGGTTTGTGCCACAGTGAATTCGGGTCTAACCTTACCCCCACCCCCATTTCTAAGTACTTTACGGGTGTCCCGTTTACTTCTCATACTAATCTGTGGCGTGGGCTTTACTCTCCTCACATCTCACACGAAGAAGGGGAGCGCGGTCCGACCTGTGACCCACTCCGAGGCCCAGCGTGGCGCCAGCGATCCCCAGTTTATCCCCAGTTGGGTCGGCGAGGCTGCAGAGGCGCCCGCGCCTGGGTAGCACATTTCCCCCGCAGCCGAAGGGGGACGCGCAGAGAAGCCGAGTGGAACCTACAGTGGAATATTCCTTGTGTCGCAGAAAGCAAGCACACACTGCCCCAGGTGCCCGGAGCTCCCAAACACTCGGTAAAAGAAGCCAGGGAGGGAAAGGCCATGCTGATTCCCTGATCTGTGATACGCAGAACAGCAGATCTGAGAGCTCAGCGAAGCTAAGGGCCTTGGGTGGGCAGGGGACCGGACTCCTGTGGAGAAATAAACGTGTTCTGGGACCAGGCAGAAATGGTAGTTGGCAAGTACTGCAAATCTACCGAAGTAGCCTCTGAATTGCTCGCTTTAACCTGGTTAATTCTGTGGTGTGAATTTTGCAGTATGAAAATCGTGCCCTTCGCAGTTCGCAGCTGCACTTGCTTTTTACCAGTACCTGTTTTGGTACACAGCGGACACAGACATTGTGGGGAGCTGGTACTGTACATGACACATCTTTATCCTCCTCCCTCCCTCCAGCTCTCGTCCTCTTCCCAAGTGCAAAGATCTGTCTCCCTGTTTCCTATTATCTGTCCTTTATTTTGTTCTTTTAGTTATTTATTTATACTTTGGGTTTCTCATATGAGAGAAATCATGTGATGTTTAAGATTGTGTATCTGATTTGTTTCACTCAGCATTCTGGTCTCAAGGTGCATCCATTTTTCTGCAAATGGCCCAAGTCCATCTTTCTTCATGGCAGAGTAGTACTCCATTTCATATACATACCATAACTTTCTTTATCTGTTGATGAGCATATTTGGCCACCTCCAAGATTTGGCTATTGTGAGTTGTGCTGCTATAAACATGGGTGTGCTTGGAACACTGTAACATGACGTCTTTAACTCTTTTGGGAAGATGCCTAGAAGGAGAATAGCTGGGTGGAATGGAATTTCTAGTTTCAATTTTTAAGGAATCTGCACACACACAGTGGTTGAACTGGTTTACACTCCCACCAACAATGCAGAATGCTTCCTTTCTCCCTGAAGTCTCGCCAGCATTTGTTATTATTTGATTTCTTATTGATGGCCATTCTGTCTGGACTAAGACAGAATCTCAGTGTTGTTTAGATTTCCATTTTTCTAATGGCCAGCAATGTTGAATATTTTTAGAATTTCTTTTGGGGCCATTTGTGTTTCTTGCTTTCTGCAATAGATCGTCTCAGCCCTCTCAATGCCAATATACTTGAGCATCATTATTATTATGGCCACATATTGTTCTACTGAGAGAATTTTCATAATTTGCCTCACTAACCTCCAGGTAGTAGACAAGCTTATCTATTGTAAACAGCGAAGAGTTTAATATTTACTTTTCCACCGGATAAAGAACCGGAAGCAGTTCTTCATCAAGGAGCAAGCATTTAAAGATTTTGTGTAAGCATTTCTAAACTATTTGCCTCCATCTCCCTGTCAGAAGCCTTTAAGGGTGTTTACTTCTCCGCTTGTATCCATGATATTCTACTATCCCCAAAATCCCGTTTTTGTTTTAAAATGGTATTCCTTTGAATTAAAATATTATGCTTTTCAGCACCAATAAAATCCCATTTCATAGAGCTGAGAGACTTGGAAAAGTACATTCTTTTTTTTTTTTTTTTTTTTGGTGCTGGGGATCGAACTCGGGTCCTTGCGCTTACACAGCAAGCGCCGAAAAGCACATTCTTTAAAGAGGCCGAGAAGCAAAATAGCTTAGCATGTTCTGTAGCCCAGGTCATTCATTAAGTTCAGAGCACAGACATCCAAATGAGCACCGTCTGAGGGACAAACATTTATTAAAGTCTGTCGTGCCCAACACAATATATCTAAGGGCAATGAGAACCCGGGGGTGATAAAGTCAGGCTCCAATGTGGTAGGGGCTCATCTCTCTGGGAGACAATTACGCAGTAATTGTGATGAACCATGATGGTAAGTACACAAACAGCACCTGGCGAGCAGCCCCCAGAAGCCATGATCCAGAGCTCACTTTGGAGATGCTGCCTTTGCTCAATACCTTTTCCAGACCACTGTTTGCACCTGGACCTCAGAATTAGCAGAAAATTCTTCTGCGTAGCTTCTGTGGCACCAGATGTTCATCTCTTAGAGATGACTTCAGCTTTTTTGGAGCTAATTAAATGTTATTCGAAGCCCTGTCTGGCGCATGAATCAAGTGTTGCGTTAGGGGTGTAATGGCATAACCCCAACAGGGACAAGATTAGAGTGTGACCGAGTTATTAAGCTAATTTAGTAAGTGGCTAGTTGAAGTGGATTCAACCCTTTGAGCAATATCGCTATATCCTACAGAGCGGCAACTTTCAGACTTTTTGACCTAACCTAGTGAGATTCATGTGCCACAGTGGGAAGTGATTTTTCTACCATAGCCCAGGAAATAGGTCAGAATGAAGATTTCAAAAGAGGTCTCGCTCTGACCCCAGGAAGCTGTATTATATTCTGTCTCATTTAACTCGTGGGTGACACACTGATTGTGCGTGCACTAAGGACTCGTTACATTTTGATACAGGCTGCTCTAGGTTTCAAATCAACAATCCTTCTGTTACTTTTGAGCATTTTCCAGAAATCTGGAGAAATAATGGACTCCGCTGGCTTTAAATTGTTAAAACTGAAATGATCATTGCTGCTTTTTTTTTTTTTGGTACCGGGGATCGAACTCGGGACCTTGCACTTGCGAGGCAGGCGGTGGAACCACTGAGCTACATCCCCAGCCCTGCTGGTGCGTTTTTTAAGTGGATAGAAACTGCAGAGACTTGGGAACGCTGCAGTATGTCCAAGGAATCCCTTTCACGTCCGGCTGTAGCTCACTCTTCAAAGAGCAGCTCCCCAGGCAGGCTTGAAGGAATGCGAATCTGAGACGGAGGGGTGCAGTCATCAGCTGTGGCACTCACCAGTGCCCGCGGGTGATTACCGTGCTGTGTGTAATTGCCTGGACCCTATAAGACGAGCCATGTGCTCACTTTAGCCTTTATGTTTTAAAATAGGTATGGTTACATTGTGTATTTTTAAGGCACTGCAATTGGGGAAAATGTTGGAGAGGCTTAATACATCTCAATTTATAATACTAATGATAATAATAATGTTATAGCCAAACAATCTTACATGTCATGATAATGTGATGAAAATAAGTTCGCTAACAGACATTGTAGACTGTAAGAACAACGAGCTTGCAGTTATTTATTCACTCAACCATATCTACTGAGAGCCTACGAGGTACCAGACTCAGTACAGTGCACCCCATTTGATCTTTATTGTGAAATGTAACTTACCCTGGAAAAAGTAATTGCAATTCAGTAATTGCAAATTTAGTCTGAGAAATGCTTTGTATAAAGTACTCTGAGTATTCTTAGTAGCGCAGGAGGGTATATGGTTATGACTTAGAGAAAACCACCCTGAGCAGCTGGGTCTTGAAGGACCAGTAGGAGTTTTCTAGATGAAATGGTAAGCACCGAAACGGGCATGTAGAGAGGTCTGGTGACATCAAAGGGACCGGTGTGACCACCGAGGGATCACTTGTGTTTATGAAAACTGTGCCTTTTCGGGAGAGTAGCAGGAAATAAGTGTGAAGGCGGAGCAGCTGTCATTCCAATTCCAAGGAGCGGATTCCACCCTAAGCAAATGCCTTCGTGTGGCTGGGAAGGCAATCAGAGAGAAAAGGAACCTCAGAGGCTTCTACATGGAGGGCGGGGAGATCCAATTTAGCTTTTAAAAAAAGAATCATGCCATCGCAGGAGAAAATTAATTCCTCTGGCTCATGTCCAAGACTGGCTGGGAATCTTTTGAAAGAGTCAAAATTAAAACAGTGGAGGGCTCATCCAGGAGTAGCAAAAACACTGGCAATTAGACATGCAGAGCTCTCCATAGGCTCCCTGCTCTCTTTGCCTCTCTTTCATATCATTTCACTGAAAACCCCACAATCAACTCAGGAATCGGGGTGCAGGAGGGTAGATCTGGCCCGAGTCCATGGCAGGAAGTGGCTGCAGGATCCAGGGCAGATCCTCATGCTCAGAGTGCTGCATGTGAGGTCGCATGTCACGGAGTCAGAGCTGGCACTGGGAGGCTTTCCTGAGAAAGACAACAGAGCAGAAGCAGAGTACAGCGGACCTTTGACTTACGAACTCAAGCAGTTCCCGAGGGCTGGTTGTAACTC